CCACGCCGATTTCCACTCGACGCAGGGCTGCCAACTTTGCCCTAAACTATCTACAGGCTTGCCAACCACCTGGAGTCTAAATTGCTCTCATTTGATTTTGGAATTATCATAATCACACCATCTACAAGCGGGCCAACGTCAACGGAGTCGCGGTAGGATTTTATAATACGATTTTCTCGTTCTAAAGTCAATTCTAAAGTCCGTAGCTGGCCTTTACAGCTTTACCGAATGATAGGTGGTGAGTGCAAATGGCACTCCAAACCCGCGGGAGAACTTTTGGAGCGGCTGAAGGCCAACTCCTACCTGACGGACACAACTTTAGTCTGGGGTTCAAACATAGGTTCAGGCTATAATTTCATTCCCCGTTTGAATGGGACGAAGGATCGATCGGAGGGCTAACACCCGTGACCCCGGCATCGGCTCGTAAATTTACAATATGATATTATTTTTTGAGAATCCCACATATCCCCATGCTATCCCTCCGGAGAGGAAACTGTGTTCATAAAGATTTTTCCAAATATTAAAAAAAAGTTTGCTAATACAAGCGTCATCAAAGAAGAATTACAAAATCTTTAGCTCAATTTGAATCTGTAATCTCGTAAGTACATTACATAAATTTAACCAATTTTCGTAGGTCTAAACCTCGTACAAAAATGTACGAAGATGAAAATGTCGTCATAACTCACCAAAAAGTCTGTTACGAGTCCTAGTACGGTTGACATCCCTGACTGGACGATAATAAAATACCAGTTTCGTTGGAACCGAAACGTAATATTGACGGACGAGTTTGTACCTACGAAAATTGTATACCTACAAAAATAGAAATGGCAATAATGATTTTGTTATGATATTAGATAGAAGAGAAATAATCTTTATTCAAATAAACTTAATATAATCACTTTTAAATAGTGACACTTTTTTTATTCTACCACCCATTCGGAACGCAGATCCATCACAAGAAGAATGAGTAAGAGACTTGTGTGTTGCTGTTTTAAATAAATGTTTTTTTATGTAGATTTACATTATTTTGAATGGAATATAAGTGATAAACGTCATCTATTACCTTTCAACTGTCAGCTTGACAAACCAACCTAACAGTTAACCTTGACAGTTCAAAATGACATTAACGTTCCATCTGTGACTTCAATTGTAGGATATATAATGACATATTTTATATAATTAATATATATAGTGTATTACCTTAGTTTAATCCTTACAATTAATCCTATTGTCAACTTACCTGATCCTTTAAACCTATCGTCCAAAATTTCCTTTACCTGAACAATTGTTTCCCAAATTTTGTATATTGGCAAATGCACAGACGTGCCAAGCCATAAAGAAGAAAAAATAAATGTAGGACTTTTCACAGATTAGGCTATAGTGTCCCAGTCCAATAATTGGCTCCATCGCAGATGAAAGGACAAATTTGACCAGCACTATGAACATCACGTTACAGTGCGACTACTTATGCGTCTCCTTCTAGTTCTAAGATCTCATGACTTTGACCTTATCTTGTAATTTAACCCTTACAACTTAAACACAGCTTACAAAGCAAGCTGCTTGAGTGCTGAAATAGTTGGGGCTCTAGTGCCCACATAGACAACTAACGTCCACCTTTGGTTCTGGTTTCTGTTGGTTAAATAAATACACTTTTTGGTTTTAAATATCAGTATTGTATAGACATTAGCCCGTTACATTTTTATTATACTTATTTAAAAAAATATTTTTACTCCGATACATAAATGGAGTTTTGGCTATGTCATAGATAAAACAGATAACCTTTTTTTTAGGAAATTGCTTCAAGAAAGTCAAAGTATAATTATATATTCTTTTTTTAAAAATCTAATTTAAATTTCGATTCGATTCGATCGAACTGTCGAAAGCTTTTTATTGTTTTTCAATTGTAAGGAACTAAAGTATATAAGATTTCTTGGATGAGAATGGATTCATGCTGGCGGTATATAGTAGTTAAGTACCATTGACGGATCATGATATGAGTGAAGTCAGTAAGATCATTGACGAATTGTCTCATTCCTCGAACGATTTAAAAGAAATTTACAACATTGATTTTTAGGAGTACCAAAACGATTTTTTTCTGCAAATAATAAAAATTATATCAGAGTTACATGTTTTTAATTGGGTTCTAAAAAACAAATGAGATATTTTATCTGACAACAATTTATTTATAACGTAAAAAGTCACAAACGTTATTTTTTATTTGCGTGTATGTTAGTCCTTACATGATATAAATCTACATACATACAAGCCACGCTCAATCAGAAAATCAAAAATGCGGCGATCAGAATGCAGATGAGTTTTGTTCGTTTTGCGGCCGCTGTACCAGTGCAACATAAACTGCCAACAAATTATACCTACATCGTTTTTATTTTTAATTGCTACGGACGAGCCACCGTGTTCGCCAGAGGCCTCCTGTGCCTACCGCTGATCGTTCCATTTTTGAATTATGGCGCGCCGGCACGTGATTGGGCCGCAAGGATGCGGGTGCGTTCACTATATATTTATATTGATTAGTGATGCATTCCAGAACGAATAAATTTGTGTAATTATATAACCGTTTATTGTAAACTAAAAAAGGGTCGTGGCCTAACGCGATTAAGGGTTGTGAATTCAGATCTGACAGGTTTAGTGAAAATGAATGTTGCTGACGTAAATATATTGTATTTTTCTAAAGAATTTTATTATATTATTTTGTATGATAGGTTCAAATTAAAGACAAAATAATTTAATATTATTAGATATATTTCAATTTTGTCGGAGCATGACAAAGCGAACCTCCGCAAAAAGTGCACCTTCTGATCGCTCATCAACAAGCGCCGTGCAAGCAGAGAGGCTAGCAATATAGATAGAGAACTAATTCGTACCTATATTGCAAATAAAGTATTGAATTGGGTTCACGTGGCCCCACGTGGATTCCGACCTTAGAAGGTACTCTGCTATACTCACTAGTCCCGACCGATATAGTCCTTTCCTTTCTAGCCCACATATTAAAATAAAAAACTAGACATATATATAGAAATATGAGGCAATCACGGCCTTTTGGTTTGCTATTCTGAAGAGATTGTGTATTCGAACTTGACCGACGACAGAAAAATTGTGTGTCAATTTACATTTCAGATAGATCTCCGGAAAAAAAAAAGCAATTTCATAATAAAAATGATTCCGAGAGACTGCGGTGTGGACTGCTGGTGCAGTGCAGGTGGCACAGTAGAAGATCGATGGAAGTGGGTCAAACCCACGGAAGGGCTAATTTGTTATAGCGGCTGAAGGCCACATATATATACTCACGGCCCTATTCTGAAGAGATTGTGTATTCCTTGACAGAAAAATTGTGTGGATACGACTTTAGTCTGAGGGCACCGCTTGAGGTTCGAACCTCGGATCAGGCCGTCGTAATTTCGATGACAAAAATACGAATAAGATGTTTTTTTTTCATGTAACTAGGATGACAAACATGCGTGACCTGACACCGGTCATCTGTACTCCACTAGGGGGTGAAAGATGGCCTCGGGCCTCGGGCGGCCCTCCTTTTGCCCCGGCATCGACTTCGGGGGAAAACCTTCGACAACAAGATTTAAGCCTTTTAATAAAAAAAAATTACATATTGGTATTTACAACTAAAAAAAAAAGAAAAATATTAAACCTAACTTCAGAACTGCTGCCATCCTTGGGGTTTGATCATCCGCGTGGAATTTAACTTTATTTTACTAAAATAAAAGATTTTTTATAAAATAAATGTAGCCAAAGTTACTCTTTATTACATCAGCTACCTGCCAAAAAAAGCCCCGTCGAAATCGGTCCACCCATTTCAGAGATTAACCGGAACAAACAGACACAGGCAGACAGACAAAAATTGTTATTTTGGTTATGTACCGTATATATATCCATATCCATGTAGTAAAAACGGTTATTTCAATAATACAAACAGACAGATTGTGATAATAAACTTTTAAATTTTTTCATTCCCTTTGTTTTTGCTATATTGTCGCATCCTTCAGAACAGGTTACAAAATAAACTGCGTAGCATCTGAAATAGATGTACAGAGATATCCATGCAGAGAACTTTATCCAAAGTCTCGCGGTTAAACATGTTATTAATTTAACAATCAAGCATACGGCCAGATACCTACCTACTTACCTAATTGTTGTTATAGCCTCTTGAATACCATATTAATTATGCTGATAAATGCTTTCTTGGTATTTCTGAATATTAATAATATAAATGTGAGGCCTTTATGTATTTTTTTATTATAGAATCATGTGTCTTCTATTGTTCTGATATTTTATAGGAAGGCAATAACGATTTCGTTCAAAAATACAATCGCATAATAACCTACCGCGAAACTTCCCAAATAATCGTTTAATTGTACCTAACTATACTATTAATTATTATATTTTTAATAAGGACATAGACATTAGTCAAATTTAGACGCAGTATCAATTAACCAGACATCAATAAACAAGTTTTTATTTTTCAGAACGAAACTCGGAACTATCAATCTGAGGTAATAGATGACAGCATAGTGTGACATAATTGAATCAGTGTTGTCAGGTTACAATTTTTAGGTTCATTTGGTTATTTCCGGTCTATCATTATATATTGTTATTATGTATGAAAAAATATAAAATCAGCTCAATATTCATTCAAACTTGTAGAATTATTTTTAATGTTACCGATACCGTGTTTTGGCCAAAATATTTTGATATGATTGTTCTGTTAACTTGTTGCAATAACTTCATACGTATATCACCACATACACAAAGGTAGCGGTTTTATACAAATGAATTGATAAAAACTTAGTTTTATCATTTTAATAAAAATATACACTTGAATAAAACAACTGAAATAAAAGTAAATAACAAATAACATACAAATATGCTATTATTATGACAAATCAGAAAAGCTAGCAAGTTTTTGCGAAGTTGTAGCTATTGGAGAAAGATAAGGGTTGGCAACACTGTAAGTGACAGCAGTCTAAAATGTGCTCTACGAAATTTACTCGTTTTAATTTATATTAATTTAATAAATATAGAATAACTTGTATACTGAATGAGTGTTATAAAACCACAGTTAAATAAATTAGCAGCCATGTCGTACACACTAATACGGCAATTACGCCATACGGCTATATTATCACAGCAAATTAGAGTTGAAAGTACCATGACCAATCTAACCCAGGAAGCGATTCTATTTCGACCTCCATTTACACAATTCGCCAAAGTTATAAGAGAAGCAGAGAAAATAGTTGGATATCCAACCTCTTTTATGAACCTACGGTGGTTATTGAGTGATGAATTTGCCAATTTAGCGATGCATTTGCGAAAAGTTGTGAGTACCTATATATTCAAAATATTCTTACTAAATTACGTTCAAAACAAATATTTAATATTTTTTTAATTATATTGTTATTTTTTTTATTTTAGTAATATAGCAAAGATAATTTTACATGCAGTTTCAGTTATTATAACATTACATAATAGTCCTACGCCATGTGACCTTAGGTAGTATATATATTTCAAGGATATTTCCTGTTACTAATCTCAAGATCTCTACACTACACAGTAACAAGATAAAAAAACTTTTCATGGTTACAATGCATTTTTTATTCTTTTGTATATCAATAACTTGTAATAAGATGTTGATATGCATAAGAATAAAAAATTATGATAATCAATGGTTGTTCTAAACTTGTTTAATTTTACTTTATTATTAGTGAATATTAAAGTTTAAATTACATAAGTTATTATTTAAGTAATATTTTTATATATTATATATATAAAATTAATTACCTTTAAATATTTGGGTTTAATAGAAATCATTATTAATTTTAATTATTGGTGTAAATTATTAGGAACTGAAAATACATTAAATATTTTATTTGTAGGTTGACACAAATCATCCCATCATTAAAACTGCGAAATCTGTGATATACAATGAACATAATAACCTACAACCATGGGGCCTCATAATCTTGCTACTATCCAAAGCCGTAAATCCTCCAGTAACAAACATACAGACATCAAAAATCACAGACAACCAAAGAGTACTAGCTGAACTAACAGAGATGATACGAACTGGTCATTACGTACACCGAGGCTTACTAAATATAAAAGTATCAGAACGATCAACTGTAGCTGATACAACAATATTTGCAAATAAAATAGCTATACTCATTGGTGATTACTTACTCGTAACTGCAAATGGTATGTTGGCAAGGTTACGGAACCAAGATTTATCGTATTTAATATCAACTGCTTTAAGAGATTTGAGCGAAGGAGAATTCTTTGGTGATCGAGACGCACAGAACATGCCATTACCAGGGAAACCTACGAGTAATCCGTTGGATTTGTTCCCTATTTGCACAGACACCATACCTTTAGATGTGACAAATACATTGGGATCCCCAGTCCGGGAGTGGACGTTACGAACTATGTATAGTGGTGGTTCCCTGTTCGGTCGGGGTTGTCAAGGGGCTGTACTACTTGGAGGCCGAAGCTCAGAGGAACAGGATTTAGCGTATCTGTTCGGTAGCCATTTATGCCTTGCATGGCAGGCTGCGAACGAATTACAGAAGTTAACGTCCGAGACTAAAGAGAGTTATTCATTAGTGAGTGCACCAGTGCTCTTCGCTTTGTGTGAAAATCCGGATTTATATGATATAATTGCAAAAGGTAAGGAGAATATAACAGATGTAGATTTAGATGACTTAAAGGAGGAGATAATTAGAACAGATGCTATTGAACGAACCAGGCTCTTATATATTGAAAATGCCAATAAAGCAAAGAGTTACGCTGAAATGTTTGGTAACAGCGAACCTATAGACACAATAAAACGACTAATAGAAACTATATAATAATATAAGAAATAACTATATTTATTAGTTTGATTGAAGGAATGGAACTCTTTATATATTGGGATAGATCATTAAGAATTTTTTATTGAAATTTGTTAATTATTTTTATAGACCTTGTGTGTGTAATCCTTTGGATTAAAAGTAAAAAATATCTATTAAATGACAAAGTATGTTGATAATAGAGAATAGAAGGATAACCAAGGTCTAGTGTTGGGCTATCAGCAAAAGTATTAGATATATAGGTACCTAAGTAGTAAAATATAACTGAAGGACAACAGATTATGCCATTATAAGTTCCTATTGAAAAATATGTAAATACAAATTATATCAATGCACATACTAAAATAATTTCAGACTAGAATTATTTAAAAAAATGCAAATAATACTGAGACAATACATGTATATAGACATATGTATTGCTTGATCTGAATCTGGATATCCAGAACATACTATTAATATATCAAAGATCTCCGAAAAACTCCAAAATCTCGACAATGTGATTATTAGCCTATATAAATAATTAAATTATTGGTGATAAATAAATATATTTAATTAAAATGGTTAATAATAAAATTTGAATGCAATCAAGAAATGTGAATAAAACAAATGATAATTAGCCTAAAAAAATAATTAAAACAAATGGCTAGAAAATATAGATTTAACTAAATTATTTGGTTAATAATAAAATTTATATGAAATGAAGAAATGTGAAATCAACAAATGATAAATAACCTCAAAAAATAATTAAAATAAATGAAAGAAAATATATATTTGACTAATATATTCGGTTCTTAATAAAATTAAAAAATCGGGTAATGTACAAACCAAATGATATGAAGATTGCATATGACAATTAAATATTTGAATACAATTATCAATCTAAAATGGCAATTAAATTAAAAAGTACAAATAATACATACATATATTATAAATAATATAGTCTAGAACCGTAAAGTATATACAGATGCTAATGTGTACTATAATAAATAGATTTTTATTTAAATCTGATTGACTCCATTACTACTTGACTAACAGATATAAAAGATTGGCTATAATTCTAGAATGTTCTTGAAGTTGTACTTATGTACTAAACAAAAAGAAATAACGTATGAGGGCAGTTGTCTTACTGCTATTAACAGAACAACATTAATAATAAATATATAAAAACTATTATATGAACATAATTTTCTACTAAATGTAGATAATGCAACTACAATGGCAACCCTGAGTTAAGAACTCCATCCAATGACGTCACACCTCTCCAAAGACCAAAGTTTTTTTTTTAATATATATATTTGTTATTAATAACTTATTATTTATTATTGTACATTATAGCAATGATATTTTGTCGATATTCTTATTTTTGTTTTTATTCGTTATTACGTGTTTTTTTTATTTGTGTTGATTTAGAATTATTTTTAAAATGTTGGACCCGTAGTTTAATTTGTTAACTCCTTTATTTATGAAATCGACAATCGTCTAATAAACCTGTTTTAGTTATTAAACGCTACTGTCCTTTTCATTGGAGTTACTATTGTAATTTGATAGACAGTGTATATTTTATTTTTTATAAATAAGTTACTTGTAAGTGTTAAATTCTCGTGTCATAGCTGCTATACTTCTCCGAAACGGCTTAGCCGATTTTGATGAAATTTTATATTTATACTCAGTAGATCTGAGAGTAAGTTATCCTCTCTATCTATTTTTATATCCCCGAGTGACAAAGAATGAAAAAAAATATTTTTTTCATTCTTTGTCAACATCTTTTTTTTTATGAAAAGACATTAAAAAATACATACAACCCCAAATGTTCAGCCTTCTACCACCAACCTAATTGCTATTTTTAAATAGCGATATTAAATTATAAGGCTCAGTGGTTCGAAATTCGACCATAATCAATTTAATATTCAGTAAGACTATAGACAAATAATATTAAAGACAAACAATATTAATCTATTCTCAATTTGACCATAGACTAACAATAAACTAAAGAGCAAGTATGCGTCTGTGTCAAATACATGGTAGTTAGTGTGTGTAAAGTTTTTTTTATTAATTTAATGTATTTTTTTATACATAATAAAAAAAAGTTAACGTCTTACACTCCTCCATATAAACTATAATTGTGTGTAACTTCATATGCCTCCGTCCACGCAATTTTCGTTAAAAGTTTTTGCTTTAGAAAGAAAGAAAATTGTTCATTTGGTACATAGCATACTGAAAATAAATTAAAAATTTTAATTTACATTTTATCGGATTATATTAATTTTATAGTACCAAATAGGTCTCCGCTCAGCATATGTCGTGACGGGGTGCCACGACGCTGGTATTCTGCGGATACCTTCATATATAATAAATATAATAAAATAATAATAATAATACACATACATACATAGATCTAGGCGGATAACACAGAGTAAACATTTACGACATACTACCATATATAATACGTACTTTACATATTAATATATATGTAGATGGCGACTAGTGGCCTCATACACAGAGAATTCTAGGTTTACTTCCATGTGCTACTGGCAATTTGAGTAATTCTGGTGAATTCGCCACAATAGACTAACTGACCCCACTTTGTCAAATTCCACTGGTACCTCATTAGCGTAGCCCTAATTTCTGAATCTCATGAAGACTTAAATGGTCCAGTTTAGGACGAAGACTCCCCTAGTACCTGCTAATCCTAAGTGAATAATATAAATATACTAAACGAGGAGGTAATCTACCGCCACTCCCGGATTTGATTTACCGGTGTTCCCATCACCGAAGAGTTAGTCAAAAATTTAAATAGCCTTTTATATCGTCAGTCGGATTCGAACATGAACTTTGATATATAGTAGACGTTGTAAACCGCTAGGCCAAAATGTTTCTGCTCCAAGTACTTATTTATTATGACCTATCGACCTATTTTTTTCGTATTACTTCGATAATTAAATCCGTTTCTTTATGGTTGCTCTGAAGAGATTGCTTTCAGTAATCAGGCTGCCTTATTGTAATTATACGTGTGTTTTTTACTGTATGTAATATACATATATAGTCTATCTCTCTACAATAAAATACATTAATATCTTTAGTAATATAGTAAACCGGTTTTAATACCAATAATTTTATGGTAAATAGATATTTACCACTCTCGGCGTTAGTCACAGTTACCTCGTTACACACGGCTAGTGCAACCTAATTGAAAAACGAAGAGGTAAATACCTTTATTTACCATAAAACTACGAAAACCCGGATATCTATATTAATCATGTAGTAAACGAGAAAGTTTAAAAACACGAATATCTTATCACACGTTATCACGTATTGTATTAGTATTGATAATCCTTTTAAAATAATCTAAACATATCTATTTTAACTGTTTAGTTATAATATTTAAGATCTATGTTACATTTATTTGTTTATTTGTATTTTCGACTATTACAAATTATTATCAACAAAACAAATTGACACGTCAGTAGGATTCCTCCGCCACGTTTCAATAATTCTTATCTTAATATACATTTATAATTATATTAAATTCTCCACGGCTACTCTAACTTAGAAAACAGTTGTGAATTGTGTTGCCAGGTCCGATTTGTTTTAAATCTATTATTATCTAAATATATATAACTCAAAGGTGACTGACTGACATAGTGATCTATCAACGCACAGCCCAAACCACTGGACGGATCGGGCTGAAATTTGGCATGCAGGTAGATGTTATCACGTAGGCATTCGCTAAGAAAAGAATTTGATTAATTCTATCCCCAAAGGGATAAAATAGGGGTTGAAAGTTTGACATCAAATCAAATCAAATTTATTTGCACTAAACATAGGTTTACATTGGTTGTTATTGTAATATAATGTCCCATTATGTTTTGCCTCATTAGGCATGCAAAATATATAAATTTTAAATATTATTTAATTATACAAACAACAAGGGTATGCAAATATAGTATTATATTAATTTATTTATATATTATTAATATAAATATAATAATAAAATTAACATTCATTTAAATATGTATTTAATCTTACCTAACAAATAATCAGTCTTGTCTAATCTAGTCTTATTCAGACATTTTAGAGTCCCGATCAGGTACAAATCGAGACGCGTTCTCAGACCCCTGAACATCGCCACGTCCCGCGCAAATCTGGACACCTGGCAACACAAGTTGTGAAGTTTGAAACGACAAGGATTGTTGTTCGGGTTGTACCGAAACTATAAAGATTCTGATAGGTAAAACTGATAAATGATACTGATAGAAACTTGATTGAAACTGTATATTGAAACTTAAAATATAACATTTTACGCGCGGCGAACTTGATGACCGAATGCGAACTGATTTTAATGAAATGTGAAATGTAAAATAAAATGTTAATATTGCGAAATAATGTACGATGCTAGCTCGTACAATTGTTTTTAGTTTATTCAAGTAAATTAGATTACTTATTTGTTATACAAATAAAATCAAAAATCTATTATTCATGTTTGACATTTTAGCCGCTTATGAACGTTAAGTTTTTTGTATTCATATTTTTTCCCCTACCGTATACATGCATGGCAGGTTGTTGTAAATACAGGTATTATATTAGTTGTTACATATAAAGGTATAAATAATTAAACATTAACAATGCAACAAATCAGTAGGTCTGCAGATGTCTTTATAGTTTTTTCCCGCGTAAAACGTAATGCGCCACAGATATCTCAAGGCGTCACAGTAAGGTGACGAGCGCGTCATAGCTGTAAACGATGTCAATACTAAGTAATGAGTATAAACAAGGTCATTACATATATATACGTCAAATCTACTGTCAGTTCGGAGTACGATCTAAGAAGAACTGACAAGAATCTCGGCTCTTATTGTTGTCAAATAAGTATGTATATGATAATAAAATTATAGGTTCATGTTTAAATTAAATTTGGTAAAATCTATTGCATTTTGTCCACCAGTATATGCTATTGGATATTTGTTATTAGTTCGTAATTCGACCCTATTAATTTAAAATTCAGTAAGATTAGGTATAGACAAATAATAATAAAGACGAACAATATTAATCTATTCTTAATTTGACCATAGATTTTAACAATATATATTGTAGTGTGTGTAATGTTTTTTTTTATTGATTTAATGTATTTTTATTATAATAATTAAAAAGAAAATATTAGCATTCTGCAATCCTTTTCTGTATAAAGTACTAGCTTTTACCCGCGGCTTCTCTCGCATTGAATCCATTAAATAACTTCATTACTGGCTGCTAGATGGCGCTGAAGTAGCAAAATGTTGATATTATATTTTTTTGTATTTTATTAAAAATTTCTACATGACATTTTTCATTATATTTCGCCTAGTTTACATAATATCTTTACTTTATTTTGATTACTGTAAAGTTTCATCACAATCCGTTCAGTAGTTTTTGCGTGAAAGAGTAACAAATAACCATCCATACTCACAAACTTTCGCGTTTACAGTATTACTAGCGTTTAGCGGCGGCTTCGCTCGCTTTTAATAAAAAATATTTGTTTTATTAAATTAAAAGTATCCTATATTCATTCTAATACCTCCAAGAACATTTGTACAAAATTCCATGATAATCGGTAGTTTTTGCGTGAAAGCGTAACATACATCCCTACTTTCACATTTATATACACTTCGTAAAAATGGATACAAAGTTTTTTGTTCACATATTAATATACCTATAGATTAATTATTAATCCTTAATACCCGTACTTTAAAAGAATCTGAGTATTATATTTAAGTACTTATAAAAATCAATGAACGAACTGACAAAGTGATCTCAGTGTAAAGATGAATCGTGTACAAACAGTGATATGTGAAGCAAATAATATGTAAATATTGTTATAAATAATAAATCTTGTTATAAAAATTTTTTTATTAATTCTGCTTGTTTTATTTATCTGTATACCTTATCTGTGTTTTACTATCATGTTTTTTCTTTTTTTTTTCGTAATATTCTAATATAATTCGCAGCTGGTTCTTATAGCTTCACCGAACGATAGGGAGCGAGTGCAGATGGCACTCCAAACCCGCGGAAGGACTTATAGAGCGGCTGAAGACTACCTGGCGAATACGACTATACTCTGATATCTAATCTATACAGAGCCATCTAGTCCCAATCTAAACAGAGGTTGTGTTATAGGTATTAGACAACAATTACAAATAATGAAATACACTTTTTTTTTAATTTACCATACAATCCTACTTATAAATACAAATGTGTGTACCATATTTAATATAAAAAAAAATCTTTCAAAGCAACAATGATTTCAATGAAATAGCATATATATCTATTGCTATTATTTTTCTATATATTCTACAGCTTCTCCGTGTATCGTGAGTGCCATCTTCTGCAACGCCAACCTCGCATCAGTCACTGGAAACCTTTCAGAATACTTCAGAACAGCCGCTAGCTCATCGTCCAGAAAATCAGCTAAATAATCCATTGATCTTGTACCTCTGACAGTGTAATACAACTGCTTGTAATCCACTGACTTCTCTTCTAGTTTCGCTTCTAGAATGTGACCGTATATTGTGGGATACTCCCATAGAGCGAAGGTTACTGGAGCCCCGACTAGTGAATAGCAATTTGGGTGGGTGAAAAAGTCTTTAATGTCCAAATGTAACTGCCACATCAGAGCCAAATGTCCTCCGAGGGTGTACGCATCCCTTTCTAATTGTTCCCCACGATTTGCTAACTTCATGGCCCCTTGACATCCCTTGCCGAGGATACTCCCTGACGTGAGCATGGTCCGTAATATCCATTCGTCTTTGCCCTGCCCGAGGAATTCATTTGACCCCAATTTGAGGAGGTTATCTTCGTTTTCCCAATCGTAGTGACATTTGATTTCATTGCTGCCTGTATCAATGCAATGTAATCTATACATATAAATAAAATTGGAGTATCTGTTTGTAATATTGAAATAACCATTTTTTACTACATGCATATGAATATAAATACGGTACATAGACAAAAAAATCATTTTTTACAATTTTCTCTCTCTTTCTATTTGTCCCGGCTAATCTCTGAAATGGCTGGACCGATTTTGACAGGACTTTTTTTGACAGGTAGCTAATATAATAAAGAGTAACTTAGGCTAGTTTTATTTTAGAAAAATGAAGTTAATTTCGCGGGCACAGCTAGTATAATAATAACTCGGGACAAGTCACACGGCGCTGGGGAAGGTAATTGTAACTAATGAACCCATTTTTACCTGTCAATGTACTATGTTAGGTTGACCTCAACGCAATTCACCTTGAAAACCATCGTAATAAATTTCCAATACATCTGTCACGATGAGCTAACTGACCTGACCTCATGTTCAACTTATCATCCTCCATACCACGTCAGGTTAACCTCCACCCGGTTCCCTATAAAAACCATCATAATATAATAAACTCCTGATGAATTTGTCACAGTGGGCTAACTGACAGACTTGTCCCTGATACTAACTATCCTGTAGTGGGGAGGAAGGTGATTGTTAGCAATGGGAACTAGTAACTCCCATTGCTAACAATGTACCATGTTAGGTCGACCTCCACGTGGTTCCCCCTGGAAACCGTCCAGATGAATTCTTGGTGAATTTGTCACGATGGGCTAACTGACCTGACCTCATGCTCATCTTATCATCCTCCACTGGTGCCCCGCCAGCGTAAACCGTTAGCGCAGACGGGTGCACCATTCCATTATCATCTATAAAAAAAAACACACAGGGCCATCTAGGTTCTAAACTGAGCAGAGGTTATGGGTACTAGACATCTGATAGAATTACTTAAATACATTTTTTCTTATAAATACATACATAAAAAACACTAAGATCGATACAACCATACTTAAACTGAGCAGAGGTTGTACCCACATGGGTAGGTACATACCTACTAGACATCTGAAAGAAAAGTATAAATATATTTTTTTATAAAAATATATATAAAAACCATTAAGACCGACACAATCACACTCATGAATAAAAATGTTTTCTGCGAGGAATCGAACCAGTGACAATCAGAAGTAGAGCGGTGTTCATCCGTCAGTTGTCTAGTACCCGTAACGCAAACTCTGGTTAGTTTGGGACTAGATGGCGCTGTATAACTTGTCCAAGTATTGTTACTACTTATATATTCAACGTACCTTTAGGTTGTGTGGGCCAAGGATTGTTCTCTTTATCGTGTTCACCGAAAAATTCACCTTCCTCCAGATCCCGAAGACCAGTGGAGATCAGCTCTGTCACTTGATTATTACGCAATCCGCCGAGCTGGTGCAGGCACGTCGCTAAAAGATAATCGCCTGTAATTCAAATTATTTATTTACTCCAATATGGTTTATTATTTTAGTTAATAAGTTTTTATTATTGTTATTATTATTGCAAAAAGGCTCTGCTGTTTCTAATGTGTAAAAAATTACAATATCATCATCTGTTTCCGGCGTGTAAAAAATTACAATAAGTTAGTATTATTTAAATGTAAATATTTTGTGTGCGTTCGTACTATGGGCCCAACGGACAATCAGCGCTAGAGTCTGTTTCCAGAATTATGCTGAGTTGCTGTCCACATTGACTCCAAGTTGCAATGTATGTAGTGTGTTGTCGATATTGCTGTGTACAAGTCAATAAATTCTTTTATATTTTACTAGCTGACCCGCACAACTTCCTTTGCATCACACTTACATGACATTTTTCATTATATTTCGCCCATTTACATACTTACATAATATCTTTTAAAATTATAGTCTATGTGTTATTTTGATTACAGTAAAGTTTCAACACAATCCGTTCAGTAGTTTTTGCGTGAAAGAGTAACAAACAACCATCCATACTCACAAACTGTCGCGTTTATAGTATTACTAGCGTTTAGCCGCGGCTTCGCTCGCTTTGAATAAAAATTTTTGTTTTTTTTAATAGTATCCTATTTTCATTCTAATACACCCAAGAACATGTGTACAAAATTTCATGAAATAGAAATTGAAATAATCTTTATTCAAATAAACTCATTACAAGCTTTGAATAGTCCTAGCACTTTTTAATAGTCATATTTTGATTCTACCATTCATTCGGAATGCAGATTCATCACAAGAAGAATGAGCAAGAAACTTGTGTGTTGCTCTTTTGAATAGATGTTTTTTTTATATAATAATTACAGTATAACAAGTAAGAGGCATGCGATAATCAACATAGAAGTCGCTACGCACTCATTATTAGTGTAATCAGATAATATTGTCAGTGCTATGGATTTTAAGTTTTTCTATAAAAGCATTATTGTCGTTAACGAATTCTTCAATTTTATAGTAAGCTCTTTTGCACAGGAAGTGTTTTATTTGACAATTAAATCTTTTTTCAGGCAGATTTATAACAGGCAGTTTTACAACAAAATACCCTCTGGTATTTTGAAAACCTTACTCAGAAGCATGATGATCGGTTCAGTACATTCACATTTATAATATAAGTAAGAATTACTATATATAAAATTAAAGGGAACATCCTTAAAGCATTAAAAGTAAACAAGACATCCAGTTACCAGTTAGCAACACTATTTTATTCCCATACAGTAGATCGTTATATATGTCTCCATGTCTCTCTTCTGCCTGCAAGTTGACCATGGTCTTGTGGATCATGTGACCTGTCCTCTTCATCTCTACAATCTCTGCCAGCGCCCTCTGGGAGTGCAGCACACCTGATTCGTATTGATCCCTCGTGAACTCTAAGTGATTGAAACCGGCAGCCTTCGATAGGAGGACAATGATTAGACCAACCGATTGCAGGTTGCTCTTAGCTCCAATCAGGAGATTCTTCGCAGACTTTAGAAGGGGGCGGTTTGTTCCCACCTATAGATAATTGTAGAATTATTCTTTTTTTTTCAAGATCTTTACTGTTTACTCTACTTTACTGTGACTGAAGTCTGCGAGCAATGCGGCGGGGCGCGGCTCGTGTGGGGTGGAAATGGCACCCAACTAATTGCCCACACATATCTCGCCATCGAGAAAGACACGCGGGCTCATTATTAGGTATATTTTATTCGTTCTCTGCATTACACAAGAGCGGATCCAGCTTAGGCACCAGGAGGGAGTCACATAGTCGTGGTCAAGTCAAGAACTTATAATGTAATTTAAAAAAGTAGGTATTTTATTAGTGTACGTAAGTACTGTACTTGAAAATATTTATTCTTTATTGTACACTTAACACATATTAACTTGCACATTGCCATCTTCTCTTGACGACATCCAGAGAAGCACTATTTAAATATAATTAATTAAATTTTGAAGGTATGTAGTTGTCGAAGGTCTGTACAGTGTCAAAATATATAAATAAAATCATTATGTTCAATTAGTGGTCCATCTAAGTCCTGGAACCAGCTCAGGGGTGGGGGGGGGGGGGTCATGACCCCCATGACCCCCTTGGATCCGCCGTTGTTGGTATTACATATTTAAATTATACAAAATTACAGTCCATATGGACGTGATAAATTCTTTGTGAATTTATCACGATGGGCTAACTGACATGACTGCGTATGCGGATGCACCACTCCATTATCACGCATATCCATTCATAAAAAAACCTCTCTGCCGTACCATGCATCATCATCATTACATAGTATAAAACAAAGTCGCTGTCGCTGTCTGTCCCTATGTATGCTTAAATCTTTAAAACTACGCAACGGATTTTGAAGCGGTTTTTTAATAGTGATTCAAGAAGAAGGTTTATATATATAATTCATGTACATGCGAAGCCGGGGCGAGTAGCTAGTAAAAAAATAAAGCAAGACACTCACTAATTTCCTCAAATGAATAGCAGTATTGGCGATCTCGTCATTGAACAACCAGCGCAAGTTGAGGAATGAGGTCGGGTAGCCCACAATTTGCTCCGCCTCGGAGACTACATCCCTCCAATCCAAGTCCTGACGGTGACCTAATTCCAGGCCGCTCCAACGGGAATACTCCAATGTTGCACTACAACTTTAGACACCAGTTTAAAGTCAATTTAGTTTTAATTTTAGTGCATAGGGTCTATTATTATCAAAAATCAAATTGTCAGTGTTATAATTAAATTTCTTCAGCTAACAGGTATTATCACATTGAAACCAGCATGAAATTATATTTATTCAAAATTCTTACTACATATACATACGAAAGTAACTCTGTCTGTCTCGCTTTTATGCTGAAACTGCTGATCCGATTTAAATGAAATTTGGTACACAGATAGTCTGGACCATGAGTAAGGAGATGCTACTATTTAATGCGAAAAAAGGGATGTAAGTGGTTGAAAAGGGTAACAAATTTTTTAGACGGTTGGTTAAATATAAATAAATAGGACATGCAAACTTTGAAGAAATAATTGCCATCCAAGCTCACTATTCCTCGCGGACGGAGTTGCAAGCACAGCTAGTGGGTTATAAATTTCATGCGAGTAAAACCGCGGGCTCAGCTAGTAAATACATAAATGAAATGTACCATTTGTGCATATTACATGTTCTGCACAAGCCACGATTTACCAAAAACATTATGATTAAATACTTCCAGAAACTTCGTCGCTGATTCTTTTAAGTGTAAAATGTTTAATGGCAGTATTGGAGGTAATAATTTTGTGATTATAATTACTTGTTTTATTTATTTATAAACATAAACACGAGAGAAAATGCCAAACATGTTACAATGACAGTGAAAGTAGCAGTTTCAGAAAGATGTTTACCTCAATGGCCAGTATTTTAAGTATTTTGTTTTTGTTTTAATTGCAACAAAAACAACATTCTAATTAAATAATCTATGTATTTATAAAAAATAATTGCTTTTTGACTCGGTCACGGCATAACGCGTGAACGGTGGGACCGATTACACTTTTTATTTTATTTTGTGTTTGTTATTATCAGAAGATTATTATGGAAGAAAAAATTATGAGAGTTTCGCCACAGATAACATTGGTTTCGCGAAATGTTTTTGAATTATATAAATGCGAATTCAATATGTACATAGTTAAGACAACTTTTGTCGAGTCAGCTAGTAGGTAATATAAAAAAATGTCAGTCAGGGCTGTACTCTGTAACGATTGAAAATGGATAGATTAAAATAAAAAAATAAACAAAGCTTTATATCAACTAGATTTGAACTCATGACTTGTAAAAAACCACTACACCGTATCCAGTGGCGTAGTTAGGTAACCAAGGGCCCTGGGGCAAATCAAAAAGTGTAGCTAATAGTAGGCTGTAATATAGTACCCCACTCAGTAGTGCGGCCCTACATTACATTTTTTTTAAACCGCACAATCGCTATCCATTAAATCGCTATCCAACCCACAGAAAGAATTTAGCGGAATTCCGAAGGTATAACTTTCGAATATCTCTCAACTGAGTTGGCATGATTAAAGTCGGGGCATGCAACCTGTCACATTTATTTTGAAAATGGGAGAAATTTTGAAAAGTTCAGTTCGATCAAGGTTTTCTGGTAAGGGTTCGAGAGCCCCCCGAGCTTGAGCCCTGGGGCGCTGCCCCGCATAGGCACTAGGTAGCTACGCCACTGACCATATCGAGCTCCTGGTCATAACTATTATCATTATTATTAATCTTTCTTAAATCAAAATAACTGCAAAAAATGTCCTTTAATTGCGTATACATTCACTCAAATTAAACATAACTTTGTATCAGCTAGATTCTAACTCGCAACCTTTACTTTAAGTTTGCTGTAAAAACCACTAGACCGTAACTCTCTCCTGGTTATTATTATTATTACATCGACCACATTGTTGAGCAGCTGGCTGACTGCAAATATGCATTAACTGCATTGATGTTTAGGAGTACGTACGCCACATTGACTGTATATCAAACCTAATGGCCACACGAGCCTCGTTGGAAATTAAAAAGCGCCTCGTTGCAATATGGCCCCCCGCTGCGGTGCTGATTAAACGCATCCTCCACACTGGACGATTCTTGCAAACTGGTTGCTGGTAGGTATGTGAAAGAATAATCGATTATTATTCAGTCAAAAATCGATATGAATATTCCCTCAAATTTATTTTTTTTATTAAACTATACATTGTTATCTGTATTAATAAAGGGCAAGAAATCATCGACTGTAACAAGGCTATGAATAGCCAAAAAAAATTATTTAATGTATTTCTATGAGTTGTCTAGTACCCTTAACACAAGATCTACTGAGCTTGGGATTAGATAATGCTGTGTGGATTGTACTGGTTATTATATTATTATAAATTAGGTATACTCAATAACATATATAATTTTTTTTTCGGTCTGCTCTAATGCTGTTGGCCGCAGCTGGCCTTTACAGCTTCACCGGACAATAGGGGGCGAGTGCAGATGGCACTCCAAACCTGCGGAAGGACTTATGGAGCGGCTGAAGGCCAACTCCCGCCTGACGGATACGACTTTAGTCTGAGGGCACCGCTTGGGGGTCGCGTCGTCGTAATTTCGATCCCCGTTTGAATTGGACGGGAGATCGATCTGAGACGACTATAATATATACGTGGTGATACCACATGAGAGTCATGAATCATAAAAATCGGTACACCTAGAAAACATCTGATGTAACACACATAAAAATAATACACCGAAATATAAAACAGTTTTTGAGATCTGTTCGAAATAAATCAAAAACGCTTTCTTTACAATTTGGCGCGGTGCATGCACGGCTGTGTTGCCGTAATTAAAAACGCGATTCGTATTATTAAACTTGAAGGGTTTGAACGTGGATCGCTTATAATAATTGCCCACATGATATCTATCTATCTATCTACAAGGAATTGAGATAGTTACTTTTTTAGTTGAGTAATTACTGTAATTACTAAGCCAGTGCAAACCCGATGATAGAAACTCTAAATTTCACCCCGATTTTTAGAGTTTCTATCATCTGCTCTTTAAGTATTATATATATATATACCTACTTTTCTTCTGTAACTAATATCGCAAACAGACTCGTGAAGAATCGTGGAAAGACTTGTGGGATTGTCAGTAATGTGGACTAATGACCCTATTACTAGCAACGTACCATATTGAAAGGCTCCTCCCCCCTCCACGTGGTTCCTTCTGGAACCCATCATGATAAATTCCTGGTAAATTTGCCACGTTGGGCTAACTGACTTGACCTCATGCTCATCTTATCATCCTACACACGTGCGCCGCCAGAATAAGTAATAAGAGATAGTATAAAGTACGAGAGTAGTAAGTTTGCATTGACGGCCGCGGTGGTCTAGTTTTAGCATATCGCCTTACTTCCGAAGGTCGCGGGTTCGATTCCTCGCACAGTACAAATATTTGTATTCATGAGTATGATTGTTTGTAACGGTCTGGGTGTTTTCTATCTATAATATGTAGGTATTTATTAATAAGTAGGAATAAACTATGAATATTGAAAGCTTGTGTTATGGACACTAGATAACTGATACACAGTTATCTAGTGCCCATAACACAAGCTTTAGCTAGCTTAACTTGGGTCTAGATGTGTTAAATGTCCAGGGTTAACTTAATTCATAAAGGTCTATTACAGACTCTTCATTAGATACATAGTATAAAACAAAGTCGTTGTCGCTGTCTGTCCGTCCATATGTATGCTTAAATCTTTAAAACTATGCAACGGATTTTGAAGCGGTTTTTTTAATAGATAGAGAGATTCTAGAGGAAGGTTTATATATATAATATAATACATATACACTCGTGCAAAGTCGGGGCGAATAGCTATTGTGATTATAAAATTTACCTATACAGTATTTAAAACATTACAAACGAGTAATATGTTAGATATAATCATCATGAATAAAGGTGTACATAAATTACAATATAATTGTTTAATAATGGGTATAGTTATAATAATATAATTACTAAGCAATAATTCTTTATTAAACAGTGAGGCTTAAGTTTATCCGTTATCGAGAAATTGCATAAATAATTGCGAACAATTTTTTACCGCTGCATTTTGCATAGATAAGTCACACGCGAACTGCGTTACGTGATCGATTAATCAACGATAATAAAAAAGAATTGCTTACATTAATCTGTAGAAATGTAATTGAAATAAAACGTACTCTAACGCCAAACGTTTAAGTCTATATTTGAAAGTTAGCGTGCGTGCTAAAATGCCAGCTTCATAAAAGTTGAATGACGTCTGCTTTCCATTTCGCGGTCAAAGTTATAACCGGTAGCCATTGGCCTGTCACTGTGACGTCACACGCGCGTTCAACCAATAAGGTTTTATATGGTAATTCAGTGCATTTTCTTTTACAATAAACTACCACGAGTGTATTTTTTTTTAATTTATTTATGTACAAGGAGTTCACAACGTTTTAGACTTGGTATATAAACGTAAGGAAAACATTACACAGACTCGGTACCATGTATTTGACACTCACGCACATATATCCTCTTTTGTTTATTATTATAGTCTGTGGTCAAATTGAGAATAGATTAATATTGTTCATATTTAATTTTAAATTAATTATGTCAAATTTTGATTACTGGGCGACCACTAGTATATATCAATTCATTAAATTATGTGAATGAATTCCCTTTCTTGATTTTAGGTCATTTAAATGTTTGATAGAGATGTAGAATAAATGGATAGTAGGTACTTACGTAAACTCCTTTTTAGTAAGTTCTAGCAACATGTCAAAACATGTCTGTCTTTCTTTATAGAGCTTTCATGTCCTAATATTTAATGATAAATTATCTATTTGTACTACCATTATACGTATATGGGTGTTATACTTAAATATTTATTTTCTAAATACATACATAATATACATAGAAAATATCCAGACAGATACAATCATACTCGTTAATACAAATGTTTGCACAGTCCGAGGAATCGAACTCGTGAGTATCGGAAGTAAACAGGTGTGATAAACCGCTAGACCGTCCGTCAGGACGTCGCGGCGTCGGTACCTACTTCATTATAACTATATAGACGGCACTTGTAGTTCATCACGTTCAATAGACCATACGAGGGAAAGTGGATTGTTAGTAATGTAGATTGATGATCTTATTGCTAATGTACCATGTCAGGTTGATACGTAGTTCCCTTTGGAAACCATTATTACAAATGCCTGGTGAATTTGTCACGATGGGCTAACTGACCTGACCTCATGCTCATCTTATCATCCTCCACTGGTGCCCCGCCAGCGTAAACCGTTAGCGCAGGCGGGTGCACCATTACGTAGTATAAAATAAAGTCGCTGTATATTGCATTAACCTTCCTCTAGAATCGCTCCATCTATTAAAAAGAACTGCTTCAAAATCCGTTGCGTAGTTTTAAAGATTCAAGCATACATAGGGACAGACATCGACAGCGACTTTATTTTATACACGATACAAACATTTGTATTCATAAGTTTCATTATCGATGTAGTCATTACATAGTATAAAACAAAGTCGCTGTCGCTGTCTGTCCCTATGTATGCTTAAATCTTTAAAACTACGCAACGGATTTTGAAGCAGTTCTTTTTAATAGATGGAGTGATTCTATAGGAAGGTTTATATATATATATATATAACACATGTACAGCCATGCGAAGTCGGGGCGAGTAGCTAGTCATCCATAAAAAAAACTGTGTTCAGAAATATTTAAAGATTATTTTGCAAACGCTCATCAGTTACAACCGCTGGGCGGCCGG